TGTTCAAGAGAACACAGAAATATTAATTAGAAATGGAAGCCCCACTTTTTGTTAGGAAATAAAGGGTACTATTTGGCAAACCTGAATTTGAGTGCTGCAGAGATCAGTGCCTCCCTGCTGCCACCACTGCTCACACACCCCACTCACCTGCACTTTTGCTTCACAGATCAAAGAAACAGCATCATACAGATTGCTTACAACTGGCTATTATTCAACTGCATTTTATTTATTTTGCCTGATCAATGCACTCAGAGCATTTAAGAACTGTTTCTGACAACAAACACAAAGGGAAACTTAGTCTAGCCCATACAAAGACAAGTGCTGCTATACATCTACATACACACACTTCCATTTTCATGGGAATTTTGCCTAAAGATGTGCTGGGATCATAAACCATACCCTATTCTTTGTATAATTACTTAAGCTTTTGCTCTTGACTTGGCAAAACATGAAGCTTTTCATTTTAGTATATCTATAATTAACTCCAACATGTGCTGAGTAAACATAACCTCATTTTTAATTAAATCTTTGAGCAAGATGCTACAACTTGCCATTTCTAAAGAGAAGTATTTGTCAAGCAGTGTGCAACATAAGTCCAATCCTTGTCAAACAAAACATTCATCTGAGCATAACCCACCTTCTTTCCAGTCATCTGTTGTCCAAACATGCATTCACTAACTATAAAACCAAAATGAAAAATCACCACATCAAAACTTTAAGGATAAAGTAAAATCAAGTCTATACGATAACATAACAGTCCTGAAGCTAAAGGTGTCTCAGTTTTCCCACCTGAAGAATCATTTCTCCAGTACAGCCCATAGATTTTTTTTTTTTTGCAAGTACAGTATATATAGTAATTCTTATAGAGAAAGAAAAATCTAGTTTCTCAAGCATGAAAGCAGTTGACACACCGTATACATTATGAACATAAGAGAAAAGAACTTTCAGAAAGTTTCTAAGCAATCATTTTTAAGAAGGGCCAGAAGATTTACTTCAACACGTTCAAATAGACCTAACTAAAATCCTACATTAAAATGATGCTTCAACTCCCGGAGTAAAGAGAAATTTCTTGAAATAGAGTTACTGTAATAATACAATCCATCTTTCACTTATGCTACAACTAAGATTTTTCAGAAAATATTCCCAGTAGTGTATCTAAATGGTCCTCAAGAATTTGAAGGATTTAAGTGGTACAGTTAAAGAGCAGAAAGTGCGACGTTCAAGAATTAGGCTTTCCAGCGTCAACTAAAAGAGCCAATATGTTGTACAGGACAAAAGACTCAAGGTCTGCCATTTGCAAAACAAAATTAATGCTGAACACTTCAATGAAAAAAGCACTCAGGAGAACTCTTGTAAGTATTAAAATTCTTACCATGTTCATTTCTTTAGACTTCGTTGCAGCTCTTTTAAGCAGCTCTTGTCTCAAAGAGGGTCTTTCAGTTAATGTTTTTTATTACCACGACTTAGATACTCTGACTCTACATTAGACAAGAGCAGGTCCATTTATTAACCTTACCAAAGAATGAACCAAAACATGACTGCAACAGAATCTCACGAAGCATTTTCTTCTAGCTATTTCATGTTCCATTTCAGTGAGCTTATTCTAGACAATTTTTCCATTTGCTTCTCACCAAATTCAGCTTAGTCACCTTACAAAGCTGTCAAGATACATGATGCAAGTCAGACTGTTTAATTGCATCCAACCACCAAAAACAATGTGCTCAGAGGCCAAAGTGCATGAAGTTATCAACAGGTGACGCTGACTTCACAGTGTTTGCTAAGCACAAAGGTAGGATTATTATTTACACTACAAGAACGCTACAGCACGCAAAGCGTTTTCTAATCTCCAAGAAACATAACATCCATGCTTCAACTACGGGCCTTTTTCCCTTCATCAGTGCGGACTAATTTCTTTAGGAAACTACACCTTTCACACAGCCTGCACATTTTTTCATCATCCTCCCTCACATCTTCTCAAGACAACTTCTCAAACCTACTCAGACATGACTAAACCCGAAACAGAAGAGAGGCCTTCCAGTTACTCCATTCTCACAAACTTTATGTGAACAAATACGTAAACACTAAAACCTCTCTGCCCATCACACTGAAGGTAAACAGCAGCAATGCTCAGTCTTTAGAGTCTGAAAAACATTCACAGTCATACTGAAAACAAACATCTTTATAAGGCTTCATTTCACAAACTGATTCAAATGTTTAAAAATAAAAGCTATGCTGAATTTCTGAAAGGCAACACTAAAATACTAACGAGTGTTAATAGCACAACTGTGGAACAATCTCATCAAAAACAGATAATTAAACACCACATGCTATTCATTTTTTCTTTCAATTCTTAATCACAACTGAAGAAGATAAAACAGAGTCATTCTTAACAATATGAAGTCCGATAGAAAAGCATCATTAACTATATGAATACGAGAAACTGTTTGCCATCCAAATGTTTGCAGTCATAATAATAAGATTTATTAGTACCCTCAGTAAGTTGCTACAAATACCCATGTAGTTTCAACAAAATCTGGGAGTGCTTAGAGCACCAGATACCAGGAAGGGAAAGAGAAGAGGAATGACAGGCTAACAACTCTGAAGTAAGCTTGTTATGTGGTGACATCATTATACTGCAGGTTGGTTACACAAGGTGAATAGTAATCAACCTTTCTTAACTGGGTCCCTGCTGTGATAAACACTTTTCTGCCATTTGTGTGATAACTGCATAGGACAAAGTTTGAGGTAAAATGATAATCACCAGTTTTGAGAAGTTGCTTCTGCAAATGACCACCACCCTTACCTGAGATTTTTTTCTTTAAAGCAGTTTTCTACATTAAGCACAAGCTGCATTTGTAGAAGCTAAACTCTGTCTTAAATGGTAACTTCTTTTACAAAGTAAGAGAAATAAAGGTTTGTCCTTCCCTAACAAGATGTTGCAATGCAGTATCTGCTCTAAAGAAAGCAGTTAACAACCCAGTACAATAACATTCTGCAGTGAAATCATACCTCACCCTAGCTTTGTTTTATTAATTTTGCTTGTTTTCCTGAGAGAATGCTATTTAATACTCTTGTATGAAAATTCATACTACCAATGTAAGTGAGAATAAAACAACTTAAGAAAATCTACTACTTTGCTCTATTTTGTCAATTGTTCAATATTAATGGCATTTCCAAATTTAAGTACAAGTAATCTTTAAAATTTTCACTGTTTGACAATGCAAACCTAAGGAAACAAGTACTCTTCAGGAAATGTTACATTTAGAAACACTCAGTGCAGTAGATTAGCTGGGCACATTCTCAAGTGTAAGTGAAAGATAAATCTTGCTTGGACTGGTAACACTCCTGCTGCGTGACATCCAGCCATGATGACACTGACACCATCTGAACGGAGAGGATTAGAAACGATAGCAATAATCACATACGCATACACTGACGGTACTCCATCACAGAAACAAAGAACAGACGTCAATGGGTTCCCCAATATAAAATTAGCAACAGTAGCATTGTTTCTAAACATGCAAAATTTTCATACGTTTAAAGTGAAAAATCACTTTTTTCTGATGATGTTCAGTGCGAAATTCGGTAAACTTCAGAGCAAATTAAACGAAGCTTTTACACGCCGCTGATACCACCTCCAAATGTGGTAGACTTGAAATCAGCTCCTCAGTAATGTAAATTATCCTTTTGAAAGTAGTCTTTTCTTGGAACCTTTTTAAGTTAATGTGTGAAGTTTTGAAGCAAATGTGCCACTTTTTCTTTGAACAAGTCTTTCTTTCATGGTACAGCACCATAAGGTAAATTATCTTTGAGGAACATAAAGCGCATTCAAAAACTCTCCTTTCTCTTGAATGTAGGACATCTTAAAATTGATGGAAATTTTACTGGCCTTAGGTCATAATGTTTAACAGGTTTATCTAATTTCATTCCAGAGCATTTACAAAGCCAATTTATTTTGCCTTTCTAATCACAATCATTCTTTGACTGGTTCTACAAAGCTTAGTATGCCTAGAAAAGTACAAGGAGAGGACTACCTAGATTTCTGCAACCAAGACTTCAAAGAAATTGCAGTATATCTCTTGCAAATAAGCCACATGAACTTAACACATGAAAGTCACACTGAAAATTTAGTTCAAGTTAGAGCCAAAAGCTAATCCTATTAGATTAAGTTACACCAGTTTGTTTTTTTTTGTTGTTGTTGTTTTGTTTTTTGTTTTTTTGTTTCTTAAATGCTGGCCTTACATTTTATCTTCTCTGCAGATCAGAAAAGGCAAACACCCCAGAGAAAGAAGAAAAAGTAAAACAGTGAAAAAAATTCAAAAGTTACTATCATCTGATCTGGACAGATAGATTAAAGATGGAAGAAGGGAAATCAGTTACTTTTGCTTATCAAAGTATTTAGAAAGAAAAAAAAAAAAAAAAAAAATCAAAATTTGCCTATGGCCAACTTTTTCTGACTCTGTGTCACATTTACTTGGAATACATTTTGCTTTTTTGTTATAAGCCAGTAAGAGCAGCATTTGTTATCTACTGTCATGCTGAGGTAGAACTGCCACAGGCAAAGCTACTGGACATGTGTCTTTTCTGAAAAAGCATGAGGCTGTTTGGCTAAAAGATAGAAGGAGGACTGGAATACTTTATACTCAGTTAAATCCAAATGAACATTTTATCATAATGACATTTGTCATTAGCATTTTGTATCTTCTTGAGTAACTTCCAGACTTTCTTCTTACAATGGCAACAGCTGTTACATAAACACTTTATTTTCCTCTTCAGAAATATCTTTCATTATTTTCCTCCACTTCACATCAGTACTGTACAGCTTACTATTCTTTAGGTGCATTCGGCACAGTACCGCGCAGTGGTAATGCCCACCTCATCTTCACCTTCAAGTTGTGCCATGCTCCATCTCTAAGACCTGAGTAAACCTAGAAGAAATCACTGTGCCAAAGAAGATCAAATGGATTTTGCCATTGTTTTAAGACTTCGTTTGTACTTACCTGCAGGTAAATATTTCAGCTGGTTGTTAGCCAAACGAAGATGACGCAAAGATCTCAGGCGACCGATCTCTGGACACACAATTTCAAGGGCATTATCACTTAGGTCCAGAAACTGCAGTTTAACGAGGGAGCCAATGGCTTGCGAGAGAACAGATTAAAACATGAATGTGACCCAACAGTAACGTTAAAATCTTAATAGGACTACGAGGGGATAAAAAGCCACAGTACCTTACACCTAAGCAGCAGCAGATTTTGATGCATTAAAGTCGGTCTGAGAACTGAATGACACAGTTGATGAAAATGCTCATCTAAAAAACTTTATTGCTGGCAGTGAGGTTGGGAGGAAAACCTCACTTTTTTTTCACTTTTATTCCTTTGCATCTATCCAATCTATATGTACCAACAGAGCTTAAAGTACTGCACTGAAGTTGGACACAGAAATCTAAATTTAATGCACAGGAGACAAATACAATACAAGTTCTTGATATTTTAAGTTTCAAAAGTGCCATGACTTAAACCAGCAGGGTATTCTGGGTAGTAAGCAGCTCAGAGCAGAAGACGCTCTGGATTTTTGTTTCTGTAGATGAGTGCCACTTAGCCATTCCAGTCTCTTCAATTAGAATTGAAGCAACCAGCGTTCAGATGCATTTGAGAGTTCATTAGAAGAATTTAATATAACATAAACAAGGATATTATCAACTAAAAGCTATAGTGGTATGTTTTGTATCAAAGTCTTTAATGTTTTATGGGGAAATAAAGAAAAAGATAGGCCTCTTCAAAGAAGAAAAATGAATATTTTATGATTCCTGCCACTTATGCGAGCTGGTAGATTACTTACCTTCAGGTACAACAACTATGTTATTTGAATGAAGGTACCTGGGGGGAGGAGAAAAAAAAAGCAGAGGACACCACCTGTTACCCTCAAGGACTTCTGCTACATAATCAGTTTGCAAAATATCCAATTTCAGATTGAAAGAGCACTCTCACAGCCATTCCTCTTTATGACCATAAAAGCTGTGGACACCACATATACTGGCAATAGACAGATACTTAAGTTTCACTTAAGACTAAAGATAAACTTAAAAATAAAACAGAATGACACATAATTATTTAAAATAGAACATTCACAGTTAAAATAATGGGCTTCAATTCTGAGAGTCACAAGAAAAAAACATCAAGGAAGAAGAATGAAGCAGACAGCATAAGTAAAGCCAACCATACTTGACCATCAGGTTACCCCACACAGAATGCAAGAAAAGAAAAAACACCTGGCAGAAGCTATTCCAATTAGAAACATTTCCCTCTATACTTAAAAAAATAATCTTGCCTTACCTGACTGAATGAATGAAAATGATGCAGTCACCCTAATTGAGTTTTTCAGATCTAGAGTATATTTTTCCAAAAGAAAAAAACAAAAAAACCCAACCAAACCCAATGTTACCCATTGTCGCTTAGTTACTGAGGGAGAGCAGCTCTCCCACTAAAAATGTTCAGCACCCCCTGCTGGAACTTTTCCAGCACTGCCAGTCACTTTTCAACTACTGCAACATGCATTTCTCGTGTTTTAATTTTGATGCCTAAAATAACACAGCTGCAAATGAACAAATGGCTCTTGTAGAAAATAGCAGTAAAGAAATTTTCAAATACTGATAAATATTCAAAAGCAAAAGGATAGCCAATGTTTTTGTGAAAACCTTCTTTTGTAGCCTTGACACGAGAATTCTCCTACTCATTTCACCTGCAGCTCCCAGAAATACTCGACTATTTCAGTCAGTAAATTAGAAAAGGTACATGATAAGGATTTACAACAGGCCTCCCCGTATGACAAACACAATCTATATGAGTAGACAACAGTACAGTTATGAAAAATGTACAGTGAAATTGCTACCAATTTTCATTTTTATTAAAGTGAAATTTGTCTATAATAAACTAACATTTTTATTTTTTTTTTTAGAAAATATTGCGGACTCTTCTCTGACAATAAACATCTCTTACTGTCTGATCAAACACTGGCTTCTGTTATTAAAGTCACACAAATCACAGGCTCACTGCAATTCCCTACAACGTAAAGAATAATGGTGGTACAGCTATGCTTGCTGAACCTCAAATAATTAGGTATCATTCTTACAATCGGTGCTTGTAAGATATTATTTTAAGTTATAATTTACAAAGCTCTTCCCTAAAGGCATCATCAAATAGCAGAGATCTCCTGATGCCCCATGGCAAATCATTAAACACTAAATATATGAAGTAGTATTTATTTTACTGCTCAGCAGCATAAACAAACTCTTAAGACTCCAGCATGATGAGACATGACTGTTACTTAAGCAATTTGGAGGCTGCAGTGACATACAAAACAGTTCAATTATACGCTGGTCATGTGTACCAGAAAGGTGTGGCCTCAAGGACCAAATTAAGATGACAAGATCAGACAGCTGAACGCATTAGACTACTCACACCACCTCCTGTTTGGAGCTTTTCATTAAACAGAAGCACTGTTCTGTCAATTACCAAACTACAAATGAGAAAAATGAGTTACAGTGGGATGTGGGGATGTCCTTTTTATCCTCCATCCTCCAATTCCATTAAGCAAGGACAATACAGCCTTAACAACAACAAAAAGTAGGGAGTGAGGGAAACCGTTGGCTCAGGCTTCACAACTTCAATTTAATTGCCAAAAGAAAACAGCTCACATGGTGCCCCTTCTTTGGGCAAAACTGGGTAATCCATTCTGTCTCCAGCTGTTACTACTCATACTTGCACGTTCCTGCTGCTACTTGTCTTGACTTTAAAAAAAAAAAAAAAAAAAAAAAAACAGCCATGGTGCACAAACCACCTTCTAGAATCAGTAAGACTGAAGACTTTATAACTCTCCTAGCTGGAGTGGCAATGTGCAACAGGGACGGGCTCTGGCTCTGTCACAACCATTGCACTTGGAGCTTCAAGTACTTTGTATTAGAATTACAACAGTTTAGATAGGTGTTTTTCCCCCCCTTGACAGTGCAAGCACTTGTATAACTGTTCTTGTTATTCAACACAAGAAATCCTAAAAAAAAAACACAAAACTGAATACATCTGGGTATACCACCATTTGAAAAAACAGAAAAAGCACCTTTTTTGTTCTCCAATAAAACCCTTCCTTTTTAAAACACAGGTAATATACAGCAATACATTACAAAACTATTTTAAGATGAGATGGAGCAGCACAATAAGAATATATTAGAATTCCTACACAAACTCACAATTCCACGAGGTTTGGAAGCTTCTGTGCAAGGTTTTCTGGCTGAAAAAGAGTTAGAGATTTTTAGGTTTCAAAACAAAACACACATTGTGTACCCAACTAATTTTACCAATCACACTAAAACATGTTAGCAGCTACTCACTGAAAAACTGCAACAGAAAGCTTGCATACAATATCCTATTTCCACACCCCCACATATTCTCCACCAGTGCAATTGGGATATTTCAAGGGTGAGCAATTCATTACTGACATTGAACTACAGCCTAGAAGTGACATTAACGTATCCTCAAATGGTAGGTGGACTTCTGGGGCTGAAGAGATGAAATACAATATATTTTCAAAAGTAAAGTTCTAAAGTGAATTAATTGAGGCTGAGAGCTGCTGAGAAGCTGTAACCACTACAGACTTGAAGGGGAATAAGATCTATGCAAGGTAACTCACTTTAACACTTTATTTGTAATGCTGGTAAACCAAGAAAAGATCTAAAAGTTCTGTGTATCTTAACCAATAACCACAAAGCCAGGCACACCGAACCCAACAAACTAAATTGCCATATTTGCATGTTAACATGCTATCATTTCTATAATTACTGATCCATAGCAACTATGTTCCACGATGGCCTTTATAACCAAGAACGTACACCACAAAATGGGCTTGCTAAGTCTAAAATGTCAGTAATCATAGTTAAGACATAGTTAAGAAATCTATTTCAAACACAGATTTTTTACATTATCCATATATCCAAATCAAATTTTAAAAGCAGACTTACCACACTGCCAATTTCCTGTAAAAGAGGCCTAGCAATCTGCACTGCCATGCAAATGTAAGCTGTATTATTACCTAAAATACTTTGCATGGTTTCATAAACTTACTACGAATAAATACATAAACCTGAAAAAGTTATCGCGATGTGCTTATGCAACAAGCACACCACATGCTAGATTTGAGCACGCACAGCAAAACATATTTGTTTTTAAGTAAGGAGCAGCAGATAAGGCTCTGTAATAAATTAATCAGCTGACCTCAGGACTCAACAAGCTAAACTGATCAGTTGTTGCCACCTACTGGAAGGTTTGTATCAGAACATTTGTCAGAATAGGAGATTATTTGGTCAGCGAGTGGAAACTTAATACGGGAAAAATATACAAAGGCTGCAGCGTGCTCAGATCCAAATTAAACACATCGACATTCAACTTGAAAATTAAGAAGGAAAATTAAGAACATTAGCTCTTCCATCCTAAACCTTTGTTCTATTGAGGACGCTAATCTGAAATTCAAACGTTTTCACCTCACATCAAGCCTGAACTGCTTTATCTTAAAATACGAAGAAGTTAAAGGAGGGAAACAACCCCACAGCTCACAATTTTACAGTCTAGAATATCTACCACAAATTCTATTTATGTTCTTGAGTGCCACAAAAACAACTGGTCCGAGTCAAATGCTTTCAACACAACATCTCACAACAACATTAAGATTAAAAGGGACTATTCATGGTCCATGCATTGAGGAGTAAAGTCAGTGACACAGACTGCAGCCTTTGTTGTAGGCACAGCAACTAATAACAATGACAGATGAATAATCAATCACTTCTGCCACCAGTTTAGGGAAGCTTGGCTCATCCTCAGAGGGCATTTTTCAAAAAGTGAGCCTGCTGATTTGTCTCAACAGGACAGCATTGCACATTCTGAGAGCCACCTCCTGGTATGGCTCGATTATGTTTCTGACAGCGTCATGAAAGCAAACTACTTCGTTTTGTAGATGAGGAAACAGGATCACTAAAATGCTAACATTATCAGTCAAATACTAAATTGGAAGGTATAAGAAGTTGAAGTTGGGATGTAGGCATGCTATAGAGCTTCCTGACCCAATTACTATGCAAGTCTTCTATCATTTTCATCTTGGCACTAAAGACAGAAGTTTTTTCTTGAGAAAGGAATAGGGAAATTCTGACAGCGTAACTATTCCAATGTTTCCATAGGAGCTGGTCAGTGTTTTTCAACTCAGACATAATCAGCTGTTAAGGCAGAAGGAAGCACCACCTTAAAGAAACACAGTGCAGATTAACTACCATCAAAATTAAATCTGTATGTATTGATAATGCACTGCTCATCATCTTGCATAGGATTCAAGAAGCACAAGCTGAAAGAGACACTAAAATTACACTTCTGAAGCAGGATCACCTTTTAAATAAAGTGGTATATTTTTTTTAAATTCTCAAATGAGACTCGTTTCCCTTTGCAACTTACTACTACTTCACTAAATTGAGTATTACTCCCCTTACCAGTAATGGACATAAAATAGTAAGTTTATGAAAGCACTGTTTCATAAGAACACAGGTGTCCGCTGTTCTCACCCTTCCTCCAATTCCTTTTTAACTCTGTCTTCTCTTTCCCAAAGCTGAACCCATATCTCTAAGCCTTCTCTCACAGAACATTTTCTCAAGAATTCCCTTGATGCAGCTTTTTTTTCTCTCCACTTGCTTTCTTTACCTTACTTTCTATTCTCAATTTAGCTAGGTTTTCCTTAGGTATATAGCACAAAATTGCAACCCTTGCTCAGCTTACACTTTAATGGTATCCAGGAATGAACTGCTTATGTTTTTAATGGAAACTGAAACTTACTATGCACAAAAAAAAAAAAAAACAACAAACATATGTGCCTTTTTGTGGAACACGCTGCTGACTTCACCTGTTTTGGTCTCCTACAACTTCCAACCTGTATTCTGCTGAATAAATGCTGTTAGATCCAATTTTGGTTGCCCAAGTCACAGCTGTAGCACTATGCACTTGAATGAGATCCCAGCAATTCATATTAAGGGAAAGTTATCCTGGTCACTTTGAATACTAATTCTCTATTTCTTGCTGTTAGAAAGTAAATTTGCCTGAGCAAGATCTAAATTTTAAGTGTTGCTTCAGTTCCATTAACTCACAACTCAATTACAATTATTATTACCTCAAGAAAAACAAAACCGAGATTTAAAATAGACACGCAGAAAAGTGGTACAAAGAGCTCTCCATGTTAGATCCATCTTTTGAGTAGCACAAACTTCATGAGCCTCACACACTAAGTAATCATTGACTTTCAGGTTAATTTTTAAAACAATTTTACTTTTTAACCACGAATGCTACAATTCCATTAAATCATTAAGCAAAAAGACCTCCCCAAGAAGTACCGAGGTAACTTTCTACAGCGCATGCAAACTTAATTGACTTCAAAGATGAAGGAAAGTATAAAACCTTCAGAATCCTCCCAGCTCTTGTGCTGTGAAACAAAGCCTTTATTAAGGAAATCTAATGCAACATTGTCAAAGCTTTAAAAACTACTACTTACTGCAAGAGATGTCAAAAACAACCACCACCCCCCCTCAACCCTTAACGGTTTATTCTTCCTACTGTTGGCAGTTTACAGAAAACAAGTTTCAACTGGCACCTTAACAGAAAGCTCAGTATTAGATCTTGGGATTGGCATTGCCTTTACAGGAAAGTGTACACGAAGGTCAGCGATGTTGAAGCTAATGCAGCTGGACTAAACAGCTAACATCTCCTAACAGTAGAAAGACCTGACCACTGACAATTGGAGCAAGATTTACAAGTTAAAAAAATTATTATGGAACACAGACAAACAAAAAATTGGATCTTCAGAGCTCCGAGAGTATCTATAAAAATGGCATATGCTTTCATTTATTATACTCTACGTTATCCATCCAAGTTAGAACATAACACAACCGTGTACTTGTATTTCACAAGGGATCACGTCATTCAGGATCAAATTTGCTAAAACATTCTTTAACCTTTTCTATTTCAAAATCAGACAGTAAGCATCACAGTAAAGAAGTTGTCGTACCAATGTGGTCAGAGAATTTCTTTTCATATAAAGTCTCTCCAAGTACTGCAGCCCCTCATCTTTCAGTAATTCCAAAGGAAAATGATGGAGATTCCTGTAATTTAGGAACAAATTCTTGTGCTTTTCCAGCTTTGCCTCTGAGATTGTTTTACACAGTTCTGATGCCATGACTAATTCTGTTCCAAGCACCACATCTAGTGCACTGCATCTTCTACAAACAGGCCCATTTCTAGGAGACAAGAGAGAACAAGACAGTATCAAGGTTTATGCCATGCAATCTTTTGAGGAAAGACTGAGACTGTTAGATATTACAACTATCAAAACGTAGCCATTCCATTCAATACATAAAGTACTCAGAACATTCATACCAGCAATTCTCTTTCTGCATAATGTTCAAGTGTACTCAGATCAGTATTACCAAGATGTTACAGCACACACAACAAAATAATGCTTTTTTTTTTTTCCCCCATCATCATTTTCCATCAATAGTTTTGTCAAAGCTGACATCAGCAAAGAGAAAAAAAAAAAAAAAAAAGACATCTCTCTCCTACCCACTACTGGTGTTCTACATTTACTCTGTGGTACATGCTAAGAATGCACAATCTTCAGCAAAATGCAAAATTGATCAGAGGACGCACGTCTGGACAACTTAAAAACATCTCCACGTAGATTTAAAGCCAACATGACAACAGGCTATAAAAGGTTAAGTCTTCCCACACAAAATAACGAGGAAATGCTATCATTGTATGAGGTATTGGGATGGACAGCAAGTAAGACCATCTGAAAATAGGATAATTAATGCAAGAGAAACATGAAATTTTGCAGTTATCAGTCACAGCTATAACAGCAGACTTTCAGCAGTCCTAAATAAACACAAAGTATCCAGCTTTATCAATGACTTCAAAGCCAGAAAACTGAAGCATGATGATTAATTTTTGATTTATCTGTATGTGAAAGCAGGCTTTATTTAGCTTACTTCACAATCAAAATTCTAATCATCATTACATTGCATAAATTTGGATAATAAAAACAATGCTGCCCCTTTTATGCTGCCTCAAAACTCGAGAGGATAAAATACACTCGGAATTTTTATAAAAGTAAAGTTAAAAGCTTCCTACAGCCTTGTGTGTCCCAGCTCATCTCCGTTAAGAAAAAGGAAACACAACTGATTTCCACCAATAACATTTGACCTGTGAGTTAATTTCTTTACTGATGGAAGGATTTCCCTTCTTACCTAGTGGAGGTACTGAGCTATCAGTAAGAGAGCCAACTGAAGCAGTCCTTGTGAGTGAAACTCAGCTGAGAATGCAGAACTGATGGAGAACTGGACCATGCATGTAAACCAAACCACTACACTTCAAACACTGATTTGCAGATAAGCAGCTCTTACAAATGACCCGTGTCCTCCTGGAAGAACGCAGCACTTACTTTCTTCAAGTGCCACAGGTATTACTAATCACAACTTGGATGCAACGTCCCACATACTCGCTCTAGCCTTAATTTATACCCAATTCAAGAAACGCTAAGATCAATTCTGTAAGCAAGTCATGTTAAGAAACCTACATGGGATTGGAGAGTACTGGTATAACTCTTTATAATTAGAGTTCTTATATGAGAAGAAATATCACTGTAAGAAACAGGCACCTCCATCAAGTGCCTTTAGGAGACAGAGTACAGATGCTGCAGGTCTGTGGCACCAGTATGCAAAAGCTCCCTCAGTTCAGCAGTTAGAAGTTAAGCCACTACGAATTCCACATAGATGATAAGCATTAAAATAATTCAAGGGAAAAAAATAGGATTTGTAATGCAAATATTCCATGAATATTTGGGTACTAACTGCTACTATTGAAGAAACGGGAATGGAAAGCTCATCTTTCCCTGATGACAAGTGAAGCAATTCCACACAGGCAGAGTGTTTTCCTTCCCCCTTTGAAAGCACGGCTCTCAGCTTTAAGTTTTTTTTAAGTGAAAAACCCTCGAGACCACAAAACAACACAGAAGCATCCGACAGCTTTCTGACTTTTCCAGAGATGACATTCTGAAACTCTGCACCTACAGACCTCTCCTCACAGCCGCACTCCATGAACCACACGGGGCACCGGGACACACAGAGCGCACCGTGCAGCCCACAGACACGAAGCTCAGCCCTTCCCTCACAGGCAGGTCCTCCCCCTCACCGCCCACCAACCAAACCACCCGCTCTCAGCACACACAGGAGCCGCTGGTGGGGATCCTGCGAGGGCCGAATCCCTGCCGTTTCACACACCACAGAAAAGTGCCTCGTTTACGAGGTGAGGCTCCGCTCCGAGCCGCCCCTCTCGCGGCTGCGGCTGCCCGTGGGAAGCGGCCCGCCGTGAGCGCGTGAGGGGAGCGCCGCCAAGGCCTGTGGGGGCTAAGGGGTGACGGGCAGTGAGAAAGGGGCCTCGGAGCAGAAAAGCCTCGCACTCCCACCGCGGAAAAAGCACCGGGCGCTCCGGCAAGCAGGCGGCGGAGGCGCTCTCCTCCAACAGCCCGACGCGCTCCGCCACACAACGAGAACACTTACCGGACCGCCACCTCCGGCTCCGAACACCGTAGGCGGAGCGGGCAGATCTCGCGAGACGCCACGCGGTCGCAGACCCGCCTTCCCGCCCAAACACAACACTGCCCCCGCGCGCGAGCCTACCAACCAATCGTTAAGCTCTTCGCTGCCGAGAGCCCAATCAGGAGCCGTCTCACGTCAGAGCTTTGCCCGCCTCCTACCAAGGAGCCTGTAAGGGGCGGGCCCGGGAGGATTGTTTGCATTCTAGCGCTGTTCCTCGAGGCAGTGAGGGAGTCCAGGTTGCAGTATTGGACGTTTACACGCGTCCTGTGTGTGACCACGTATCGGGAGATGCCCTTCAGTTAACCGCTCCCAGTAGGCTAAGAACTAACTGTTATGCTGCTGGCAGGATGAGCCCATGTTTGCTGCTGCTGCCTGTCCAAGCTGTTGCTCACGATGCAGTTATCACTGCTCAGAAGCTTCGGAAGGAGAAAATCACTTGCAGGTAAAAGTTGTGATAACCAAAGAACATTTTCCCAGCTGAATTTTGTTGCAGAAAATGGTAGATTTTATCTGTTGACAGCAGACTGGAGCTTTTTGGGCAGCTGCTCACATCCGCAGCCCACCATCATGGCCATCTTGTCCTGTGATAGTTGGTTCAGGTGAAACAGAGAGGAGTCACAAAGCACTTCTTTACACATGCGGGTGTTGGAGCACAGATACAGTTTGTGGAAGTTAATGACAGCAAATTCCCTCATATTCAGTATATTTAACATCACTGGGTATTAAAGATTCTTCTTAGCTGCAGATCAGCCCCACAAGTGGCCTAAAAGAGGATCTCAGGTGGAGAAATCTTCAATTCCCACAGACTAATTAAAATACGCTTGCTATAAGGTGCATGTCAAAGGTCCGCAGGGGTGCCAGGAAGCTGAATGCATTGCAGAAAGCATTTCTTCTGCCCTATATATCCACAGGAATTTCACATGAAGCAAAGCAATGTGCTGGAAGAGCTTTTCTTCCTGCATTCTCATTTGTCTCTTCAGTTCTAAATATCCTTACTTGTTCGTTCTTCACTTTCCTGCCCTTGCAAAAGCAATAACTGATTTTAACAAGTATGCTCTTCTCACCTTACTTGCCACTCGCAGTCTCTCTGGAGTTGCTGTCAGGTGTTTTGGTTTGGTTTGGGTTTTTTTTCAGGTAAATATGTTGAATTTTGTTGACATAATTTGAAATTAAAAAAAAAAAATTGTCCTACAAAATTGAACATTCTCCGTTTTTATCATATTATACTGCATACTTTTTTTTTTTTTTTTTTTTTTTTTTTTCACAGTGTTCAATAGCACCTGGTTGTTTTTCTCAGCTGGACATTAAACTTCAGGGATTGACCTGAATTTATGCCACCAGCATTGTAGGAGTGTAAAGATAGCAATTACATCACATTTGTTAAAGCCACATTCTAAGTGTCTGAGAAGGTAAAAGCTGAGCATAACTCAGACCAAAGGAGAAGCTTAACATGAGCTCAGTTTGCTACACTTTCCTCTGAGGAAATACAGTGGTGGGTCAGCACAAGCCTAATGTTCTTATCCAGGATATTAAGTCAATGATCAGAACAGAAACTTGTTTCTTCTTTATTTCAGTAAAATGCAAGTGAGAAAGATGACTCTTCCTTTGGAAAGCAGCTCTCACCAGAGCCAGGATACTTAACATGTTTCTTTACACATAAGTTGTGCTGTTAGAATAGTTGTTTGCTTAAGGTTTTGTTTTGTTTTCTTGGTTTTGTTTTGGTTTTTGTGGTCTTTTTGAGTCAATAATAGGGAGAGATAACATTACAACATCCGGATTTTTTTGTATCAATTTTTTTCTCTGAGTCTTTTTTTCTACTCACACAAACAAAGAACTAGAGAGATGAGAGCACTGCTAAAATATTTCTGATTCCGCTCTATCAGGAAAATAAATTCAGCTCTCATAGTGTGTTTTCAGTGATTATAAAGCACTTTCCGCAGGGATTCAAAGTAAAGAGCAGAATGAGTTTAGGATCACTGAAACTATTAAAGCTGCTGATAACATTTACACAGGATTGTGTTTTTCAATATTCCAAAATGGACTTTCAAAGCAGAGGATTTGAAAGAGCTTTTTTAAAAAATATCTTTTAATATTTGCAGAGGATAATCAATATTTACATGGGTAGATAGTGATAGGACAATGGGGAATGGTTTTCAACCAGAAGAGGGAAGATTTAGACGCCAGGGGAAAACTTTTCACTTAGGAAGTGGTGAAGTGCTGGCACAGGCTGCCCAGAGAAGCTGTGGATGCCTCATCCCTGAGGGTGTTCAAGGTGGGATGGGATCCTGGGCAGCCTGAGCTGGAGCCTGATTTATTGGATGGCAACCCTGCCACAGCAGGGAGATTGGAACTTGATGATCTTTGAGATCTTTTCCAACCCAAGCCATTCTATGATTCTATGGTCTCTTT